TTTCTAACAAAATTTTTAAACCATCCAAGAGTTAAAGTTAGCTTATAAAAAAGCTTGGAAAACAATCTTTTCCACTTTAGTTTTGTTTTTAAATGACTTACCTTTTGAGTATTCATAAAATGTACAGTCCACAAATATAGTTAAAATTTCACTTTTAAAGGCGATGAGAATAACTTATTAGAATTATTTATATTTAAATAATAAAAGAATAATTCAAAATGATATTTTTTAACATAAATCTTATAATTTCTTATCAATTGAGTCAACTCATTCAGTTACCTCCGCCTTAAAATTTGCTTTTCAAGTGAGAAGGTTTTCTAAAAGTAGGATAAGAAGGGAACTTATTTTTTATTTCAGGAATGAAATAACGGAAAAGATGGAAGAACAATAGTTGATAACAAAAGGGAAAAAGAAAAAAAAAACACCTTTTAAAAATATGATATTTAAAGAGCCAATTTGGAAGAGAAGTTGCGGAATTCTGGGCGTTTTTATCTTTCTTTTCTATGGCAAGGGCGAGTCCTGGATTTCTCTCATATACGATTCTTTGCAACCCCTCTCAGCGTCGAGAAATTCTTCCATGTAATAGAGATATTACATCAACAATATCTCTATCTAATAATGTTACAATAAATCAACAAGTGTGACCTTTACTTGTAATTAAAAAACTTAATTTATTAAAAAGAAAAAAATTAATTGTTGATTTAATTTCTACTCAATTAAAGAAAAATTAATTTATTTATCATTTATTAGTCTTTCTAATTGCAAGTGAAATCACACTTGTTGATTTATCGCAACATTATTGAAATGGAGATACTGCTGATGTAGTAATTTCTCCCTAGTCTCCCTGACAATCTTTTTCTTTTCCAAATTGGATACGGAGAACAATCTGCCACTCAGGAAATGAAGATATGATTCTCATCACCTTCTCACATTGCAATCTTTAAGCATTCAAGAATGGTACGGTGGAGTGGATAAATTGAAAATCCTCCCAAGTGCAAAGTGTAGAAAAAGAAGAAATTATTCTTCATCATCCTCGGAACCGGCCAGACAGGGTTTTGTGTGGATGGGAGCACACTTAGGTGACAAGATAAAGATGATTGTTGCCTTTCCCTGTTCTAAATGTTTTCAACAATATTCTTGTTCACACAAATTGTACTAGGAATTCCATGGATATATGCTCCCTCGATACTATTAACTTGTAACCATCCGACCGCGCAATAGGATCTTTTTTTTTTTTTTTCAAGTTGAACTGCTTAATAAGATAATCTTGCTATTTTTCATATCCAAAACTACATAACTATATATAGTAAGGTTTGCACATTTACTTTCAAATTAAAATATCAAATTCTTATTAACTAGATAATTTTTAGGACTAAGTGGCCAACAAGATTTTTGCTGTGTGTAAACTAATAGTTTTCCAGCAACTGATGGGAGTCACCATGAATCATTAAAAAATAATATAAATTTCAACCATAAAAGTATATTTTTATTTTATTTTTTATCTTTTAAAACATGAAAATACTTTGAACTAATTTATTTAATTTTTATTTGGGATCAGCAAATTATACATATATATAAGATTGAATTTAAATGATTTAATTTAAGTTTGTATCAAGGTTCATTATATTTAATTTGGTTTAAGGAAAACGGACAGAAAAGGAGAGACGGGAGACAATTTTTTTATTAAGTTATAAAAAAGTTTAGAAAAAAAGACAGAAGAAACTTCCCTTACTCTATTTTTTGCTTTGAATTCCTTTAATTATTTTAACTTACAATACTGGTTCTAGGATCAAACTCCCCTTTACAAAAAAAATAAAATAAATATGTTTTTGATCTAATTAAATAATCAGGTGAATTATTTGAAAATTGATCAATTTGTTGAATTTCTTTTTTTTTTTTTTTGAACTGCCACCAAAAAGTTTGTTGAACTTTGAAGTTGTTTGGATCGAGGAGCAATGGACTGGCCCATTCGGTTAACCCAAACTCCCAACTAAATGGCCCAACTTTCAATTCAGCAGGCTCGCAGAAAACTGACAGCCCAATGCCCATCATCCGAAACTCGCTTCCCGCCTGGGCCGCCTGGGTGCGACACTCTTAAATAAGGTACAAACAAATCAGCAATTGCCATTGTTTGTTGATTTAACCGCAGTCAAAATCTAGCTCTTCAAATTTAGACATGATACCAACTATGCTTAACACAATATTCTCGGTTTTGCAGGTGGCAGCTCCAAACATGGCTCTGAAGGTGCTCGACATGGCAATGCAAGTGCACGGAACAGCGGGATTATCATCAACACTGTTCTGGTACAACTCTGCGCCGCAGCAAGAACAATAAGAATCGCAGATGGACCTGATGAAGTGCATTTAGGTACCATTGCCAAGTTAGAACTAGAGAGAGCTAAGCTGTAAACTATCTCACAAAAACAATATTTATGGGAAAAAAATCATTTACTTGTCCATAAATGATGAAGAATAATCTGAAAAGCAGTGGATAGTGTATAATTGTTGTATTAGATCTCTACCATGAAAAATAATAAAATTGCTTGTTTATTGTCAAAAATAGATAAATAAGACCCCATTTTTATGAGTATGAGTCTTAGTAAGAGCAATGTGTTGACTTCGGTATTGAGAAATGTGTCAATAATCTAAATAATTTAACAATAAAATTTTTTATTAGACATAAAAAATTTTAAGTTTAAATTACATGTATTTTAAAAAATGAAAACAAGATTGCTTTGCCATTGTATAAACCCAAGGTCATTAAAAAAAAGGTACCAAGTAATGATTCTTATGGTACATTAATAGGATTGCCAAGAATACTAGATACACAATCATTACAGCCAAGGCTTCAGGTGTGTACCTAAAAACGGATTGAGAAAAAAAAATACTAAAAATGGATCAAAACAGTTTACTGTTAGAAAATTAGGAGGGTGTCTGCCGAACATTTACCTTGGCAACAAAGAAAAGTAAACTGCAATGTGTTAATTACAATGAGAAAAAAAAATGGCAAACCACACTTAACCTTAACAACCCTCCTTTTTGGTCGGAAACATAACAACCATTTTACATTAGTTTCTGTCTTCCCCTATAAAAGCCTTTATCCTCTGAAACTTTCTCCGAACCAGAGCCCAAGGGGCAACAGCTAATAGAGAAGAGCCCCAACAGCTCTATTAGCTTTTCAATAAAGGGAAAGAAAGGAAGAAGAAAACGGGGAAAATCAGGGGAAAAAAAGAAGAAGAAGATTAGGTAAAGAAATATTAACTAGAAGATGTCTCATGGGAACAATGATTCCGGCTCAAGGAACAAAAAGTTCGCCATTATTGGCGTGTCCTCCGTGTTTCTGGTTGCAATGGTGGTTGCCGTAGTGGTCGGTGTTGGGAAGAACAACGAAGACAGCAGCCAGCCCCAGGGTAATGGCGCTGCTGGTTCTCACTCAGGCATATCTACTTCTACCAAGGCAATCAAGGCCCTTTGCCAATCTGTTGATTATAAAAAAACTTGTGAGTCAAGCCTCAATGCTGCCGCTCCAAATACAACTGACCCCAAAGAGCTTATCAGAGTCGGGTTTCAGGTAATTATAAGGACGTGTTTTATGGTTAGTAGGTACCAACTCGGCTAAGCTCTTTTTGTGTTAAATTCTAAATTCTTTTGTATTTTAGGTGGCAATTGCTGAGATTAAGAAAGCAATGAAGAATTCGACCACATTGAAGGAAGTGGAAGCAGATCCAATGGCGAAACAAGCCCTTGATAATTGTCAGGAGCTGATGGATTACGCCATTCAGGACCTGAAGAACTCTTTTGAACAATTGGGAGCTTTTGACTTCACCAAAATGGACGATTACCTAGAAGATCTCAAGGTGTGGATGAGTGGTTCCATCAACTACCAACAGACTTGCCTGGATGGATTCGACAACACAACTGGGAATGCGGGAAAGAAGATGAAAGAGATTCTCAGGACATCTCAACATCTCACCAGCAATGGTCTGGCTATGGTTACAGAGCTTTCTAACATCCTAGGGAACCTAGGTTTCCCTGGCTTCAGCAGCAGCGGCCAACGGAGGCTGCTGACTCAAGATGGCATGCCTTCATGGGTTTCAGCTGGCCAACGCAGACTCTTTGAAGGAACTCCGGCCACCATCAAGCCTGATGTAATAGTTGCCAAGGATGGAAGTGGTAAATACAAGACCGTCAATGAATCCTTACAGGATATCCCTAAGAACGGAAACAAAACGTTTGTGATTTATATCAAGAAGGGGGTCTACGATGAGATAATAAAGCTTGGCAAGTCCCAAACCAACGTCATGTTCCTTGGCGACGGCCCAACCAAGACTAAGATCACTGGTCGCCTCAATTGGATTGATGGCACGTCCACCTACAGGACTGCAACGGTTGGTACGTAATTAGCCATTGAAATTAGCATTTTAGTTTCTAAGTTTAGTCGACAATAAGAAAGGTCGGTTAACATCGGAAGTTCAACCTTCTATAATACCAGGCAGTTAACTCACGTACTTGTTTTTATTTGGAATTTCAGCAATTTCAGCAGACAATTTCATGGCTAAGGACATAGGGTTCGAGAACGCTGCTGGACCTGAAAAGCACCAAGCGGTGGCACTGCGTGTGTCAGGTGACAAGGCCATTCTCTACAACTGCCAGATAGATGGGTACCAAGACACGCTTTATGCCCACAACCACCGTCAATTCTACCGTGACTGCACAATTACTGGCACAATCGACTTCATCTTCGGCGACTCCCCATCACTCTTCCAGAACTGCAAGATAATCGTCAGAAAGCCACTTCCCAACCAACAATGTATCATCACCGCCCAGGGCAGGATAGAAATACGTCAAGTCTCCGCCATAGTCCTCCAGAACTGCACAATCTCCGGTGACCCTGAGTACATCCCTGTCAAGGACAAGAACAAGGCATACCTTGCACGTCCCTGGAAGGAATACTCGAGGACCATCATCATGCAGTCCCAAATCGACGACATTATCGCCCCTGAAGGATTCCTGCCCTGGAATGGCGACTTCGCTCTCAACACTCTGGTCTATACAGAGTACAATAACAGGGGACCCGGTGCAGATACGAGCAAAAGAGTGAAATGGAAGGGTATTAAGAAGTTCAGCGCCACCGTGATCGAAAGGTACACAGCCGCAAGATTGTTAGGCGGCGATCTCTGGATCCCGCAGACTGGAGTTCCTTACATTCCTGGGATGATTTCTGGGCTGTAAAGAATTGAACGGCATAGAGTTAGTCATCGAAGGCAGTGGAGGAGGGGTTGAACGTTTCCTCCTCGGTTTGGGCATTGTGCTGTGATTCATAGTTTGTGATGGCATACCAATTTTTTTCAATTATCACCTTAATTATTGGCTTAATTTCAAATTAAGTTTGTCCTTGTGGTTTTGGTTTGATTTCAAAAATAACAAGCTCAAATTTTGCAGATTTCATGTTGAATGAAGATGTCATGTTCATGTATATTGCATTCTTATTATAATACATGTAATAATGTTGTTTAGAACAAGATGAGTTCTAAAATGTTTTATGTGCAATCTCATTTCCAATGTAAATTTTTTGTTTTCGATTTTTTTTTTTATGGTGAGTACAACAAAATTAGTGTATATGGTACAAATTTAACCACTTAAGTATATTATACATAAGTAAGAAAAGATTATAAAAGATCTTGTATCTATAAGAGTCAAATTTACAATCTTAAATTTAATCTTAACCAGTTGATCTAAAATCTCGTTATTTTATATAAGAGTGTTTTAAGAGTTAGACCTATATCACAATAGCTTCAAAACACTTACTATATTTCCTTTTTATACATAAGATGATAAGATAATGGATAGCCCTTTTTTTCCTAAGCCCCTCTTCTCTGCACTTCAAAATTTAAATACAAAATTTTTAATTTTTAATTTTTAATTTTTAACCAATTCTAATATCATGTCATGTTAAATAACTTGGGCTGAGATCTACTAGTTTTTTATTTTTTTCAATTATTGGACTGCCCAACTTTGGGCCGTTAAGGCTCATCAGATAACGAGCCCAATACATGGGCAAAAAGAGAAAAACGAGAAGCAAGCGGGAAAATCGTTAGTCGAAGGAATTTTTGAACTCCCTCCCCTCTTGGCTCTTCTTCTTCCTGCTACCGCCTGCTCCTTGTTCGATCTCCAAATCCACCGGCTTTTGCCCCAGCTGAAACCAAAGCTTTCCCTTTTTCTCCATTGCTACTCTCCAATTTTCCTGGGAACCAATCAGAATCTGAAATGCCCAAATCTTCACTCCGAAACCCTAAAGTCTCCCAAATGAATTTCAGTTAACGTCGCCACTGAAATTCGGAGCTAAATTGTCTCCGTAGAAGAGGATGGTTGGGGTCAATGGCGGGGAGCCTGGTGGGGAGCCTCAGAGGTTCCATATGGTGCAACCGCAAAGGGATTTGGAAGCCAACTGGGAAGTCGATCTTGCGAAAAAGCTTGAAGATTATCTCTTGAAGATTTGTTCGGGAGAAATTACTGGTTCCACTGAAGATGAAAGTCACAGCCCTGTGAATTTCGCTGAAGGTTGCATTTTAACTTCCCCATTCTAAATTTATATTAAGTGGGTTTGTGATTTTTTGAAAAATTTTTAATTTGTTCTGGTGGAAAATGTAGCTGCTTTGCTGCTTCAGGGCTCAGTTCAGGTCTATAGCCGGAAAGTTGAGTATCTTTACAACTTGGTTTTGCATGCTTTGGAGTTTCTCTCTCAGAGGTTTGGTTTTTCCTCTCTCTCTCTCGTTTGAAAATTTAAGCTTTATGTGCATGGTAAGATAGGATACTTTCTGCTCCTTGAATTGGTTAGCTTTGAAATTTTGATTAAGTGGTATTTTTTATTGGTTCAAGTTACTAGATTGTTTGGTTTGTTTTATAAACTGGGTTGGGAGTTCAAGTTTTTTACTTTAGAAGATAGTCACATGGTGGAAGGTTACTTTGTCCTTCCTCATCTTTTTGCAGGGTTTTAAGTTACTGAGCTAGGAATGAAGTTAATGTAACAGAAAATTGGAATCCAACTTATTTTCTTTGCATCTGGGTAACTTTTGTTTCTGTGAACAACTTTTACTAGAGAAATTCAAACTACAGTTTTGATTCAAAATTTTGTGAAGTTAGACTGTACGAGAGCTATAGTTATAATTACTTGTCAGATTTGTAACCATGTGCTCATAATCATCATGTAGGTGAATTTAATAAAACTGCTTATTTTTACTACTTTCTTTTATCTTAAACAGACAACAGGATCAATCAGAAGGCACGTCAGAACAGCCTGAACAAAGTGCTTCCCATGCTGTTTCTGATGAAGAAAGTGATAACTTTTGGGTCTCAGATGACGTCCCAGGTACCATTAGACCATTAACCTCTTTTTGAACAAGTTATAGTGAACATGTCAACTAAAGTGACCTTATGGATTGCAGTGGAAGCAAGAAATTGTTTAGATAGTTCAGTAAACAAGGAGACTTTGTTGAATCACTTTGTGAAGCCCCCTGCAAATCTAGTTGTGCTTGAAGGAGATTGCTTAGATACTGCTGGTGATGGAAATGAATTAGAGTCCTATCTGGTATTAAAGTCGTTTACAGTTTTAGTGTGGGGGGGGCACTGATAGATTTGCAAAATAAATAATTCATCTTTTTTTTATTTGGTTGCAGTTAGCAACAAATGATCTCTACCAAGATTTTATTTTATTAGATCCATGTGATGCAGTAGGGGTTGATGATTATCTAAAGGGTGATGGGGTTGATAAAGGACAATGCAGAGCATACAGAGGTAGTCCAACTCGCAAGACCTTCCTGTCTCCCACAAGACGTTCAGGAGGAACTGCTCATAGGTCACCTCTTGGAAAGAATCAAGATGCTAATGTTAATCAATCTCCGATGCTTGACCATGGTTTTGAAGCAAATGACTGCAACATGGGGCCTGATCCTGCTGGCAGTGATAATTATGAAGATATAAATCATGGATTTGACATGGATGATAGACATTCAGAACCTGAAGACTTAGATGGTTCGGATGATGATGATGATCCATGGAAGCCTTTGAACCCTCACGAACAGGGGAACTTGAAAGTGAAGCCTTTCAGAAAAGGTTAAATTGTTTGCTTCTCATGCTTCTCTTTGGATCCATAGTATCTTTGTTCTGCCCCTAATGCTCTGCATTGAATTTTATTCACAAGCAGTAAAAGCATTCAGAAGGAATGGTTTAGAATCGAAAAAGTCAACCTCAATAGCTACCATTTTCCCACTTGCTAGATTGCATGGTACTGTTAGTCCAGAACTCACAGAAATTTGGGAGTCACGACAGAAAACACTTAATAGCCAAAGGGGGTCTCAATCTCCTCCATTATATGAAAAGGTACTGTTTCCAGATGCTATTGCAGGCTTTTCAGCTCAACCTATTGCATGGTTGGTTTGTGTAAAGTGTTCTCCTATTTCAGCTCCGGCAGTCACTAACAGATCAAGGAAATGGAGCTTGTAACGATTTTACTCTGAAGGATGACAATGGGGATAATGGATCTGAGGGTGGGTTCCCTGATTTTGATCCACATGAATTTGATTTGCCAGAGAGCATGAATATGGAGGAAGGTGCCGCTTTTCACCATGACAAGGTCAGTAGATTAATAGGAAAATATACATGAATATTAATTTAATAAAATTTTGAGAATTTGCATGTTGCTTACTAAGTGATCCTTTTACAGCATAACGATGGTGCAGCTCACTTTGGAACTGATGAAGCATTTGACCATGGGGATCCCAGTTCTCAAGAAACCCTGGAAGATCTCTGTCGCTCTCACCTTGTATGTACACTCTATTTGGATAATTTTCTGTGTACTTAATTTCTTTTTGCTGGGATGAATGTGGCCACCTCTCCCTTCTGGTTAATGAACCATTAACCTAGTTAATATCACCACTGTCACATGTTTCTGTTCAGATTTTAGTCAAAGCATATTGTTTTAACTCTTGGTGGTAAATTGATTCTTTAACATTGGAACTTAGGTGAGACATATAATGCTAAATTTTGCTCCCCTTGTCCCCCAACCCAAACCCCTTATAGTTTGATCGAAGTTCACCAATCAATTGAGAAAACTTTGAATAGGTTCTGTTGTTTATTCTAGCATGGTAATAGCTGCCCAATTTTTTGCAATTTGTATTTAGCAATTTCTCAAACCCTGTTTGTATGGCTGTACATTAATCTTCTGCCTTTTCTTTTCCATCTTTTTGAAAGTTCTCATATCTCCATTTGCTTCCTGAAGGCAATGATATGCATGTTAACTACAAAAATTTTCCATTAATTGTGCTTTGTTGGAAGAATGTTGCACGATAGAAACTTACAATTTTCAATGCAGGATGCTCTTCTTGCAAGCATAGCCGAGAATGAGAAGCAGACTGAACTGGCTGCTCGAGTTTCATCTTGGAAACAGAAAATTGAACAGAACTTGGAAGAGCAGGTAAAAGTTTTTCTTCCACTTTGAATAATTACGTGCCCTTTCAATGTTACTATTCCCCATCTGATTTTCTTGGCTCTTTAGGGTTGTCCGAACTAACTTAGTGTTCATTATTTTGACAGGAGTCGCATCCTCCATTTGATATTCATGAGTATGGTGAAAAAATTATAGACAAACTGTCACTTGAACCTGAAAATGGAAATATTATGTCATTCTCTGATGTTGTGAAGGGCCAAGAAAAGCATGATGTCGCTCGAACCTTTTCTGCACTTCTACAATTGGTATTCCCTCATAAATTCTTTTTCTTTTCAATGTTGCATGTTTTGGTGGTGTTTACATTTAGAACTCAGAACTCAGTACTGGAAGTAATATATGGTAAATTTTAATTGTGAAACTTTCATTAATTTAAAGAAGGGAAAAAGTAATATGCATCGCTTGTTACTTGCATACTGATGAAACTACTATGAATGTGACACAGGTGAACAATGGAGATGTTGACTTGGATAGAAGTGGAGCTCAAAGTGAGTCTGTCTGTTACACATCCGTGAATACTTTCCATATACGGCTCGTCAAACATGACAGGAGAAGGGTTAAAACTCCATTTCAACTATCCAAAAGGAGAGGTAAATCACCCATGACAAAAGAATCAAGAAAACATGACAGGGATAAATCATCAAGTCAGAAATCTCCAGTCATCAATTCAGCTTCAGAATATGGATCAACAATAAACTCATCACAACCTAATTGCAAAGTTTCAGCCAGGCTAGGCAGTATTGGTGGCATAAGATGTACTCCTGATGGCAAGAGGAGACGAAGGTCAAGAATTTTGCAACCTCTGGACTGACACAAACAAGCTGAATAGCTCAGATTATTGTAAGGCTAGGTAACTGACATTGTTTTAACTGAAAACTGTGTTATCTAGTATAACATATTGTCACAGAAATCACTTACCTATCAAAAGCCATTTTGTAATAACATGTAATTTTTCCCTCACTCATGTAAATCTAGTTCTTGTTTTCAAGATCAAGGTTGTTAAAATC